TGCATCATTTTCATACAGTCATATGCTGAGTGTTATTTACAGAAGCACTTACATTGTTCTGACTTAACACTTTTCTGCCGAGATTTCTCCACACCTGGTAATTCAATGCTAAGCTAAATGATTTACTGCTGCTGTTGGCTCACAGTCACAAAAAATCCTGGGTCATATGTCATTGTCCTCTCAGTGTTTGGCACTCCAGTTTGTCCATCAACTATAAGCATTTTATTATTGTATGTGGAAAAAATAACTGCTTAAGCTGGGTGTGGTAATGTTTTTTTTAATACTTATTTATTTATTTATTTGTTTATTTATTTATTTATTTATTTATTTATTTTTGGTCTTTTTGAGACAGGGTCTCCTCTGTAGCCCCAGCTGTCCTGGAACTCACTATGTAGACCAGGCCGGCCTTGAACTCAGAGAGATCCGCCTGCCTCTGCCTCCCAAGTGCTGGGATTACAGGTATGTGCCACCACACCCAGCTTTATTTATTATTTTTATCTTATGTGTATGTGTGTACTGCTTGCGTGTAGGTAAGTGCACCCTTGTCATACAATGCCCACGGAGCACAGAAGAGGCTGTCGGATCCCCGGAACTGGAGTTACCTACGGACAGTTAGGTAACTGTCATGACAGTGTCATGTGGGTGCTGGGATTCGAACCTGGGTCTTCTGCAAGAACAGTCAGTGTTCTTAACCGCTGAGCCATCTCTCTAGCCCGCCGGTAGTGTGGTGTTTTTTTTTTTAAGAATAATTTAAAATATATAAATAAATGCCTAACTTTTCATAAGTGTAATGTATAGCTTCGCTAAAGCTTAGTAATTCCACCAACAGAAAACCAAGTAGTTAGCTGGGCATGGTGGCACACACGTATGATCTTGTTAACACCAGGAAGAAAGCCCCTTAAAGAAAACTGGTCAAGAGAATAAGATCTCTGGCTAGGATGAAGAGCCAACCTTCCAGTTTTTTGTTTTTGAGACAGGGTCTCCCTGTAGCCCCAGCTGTCCTGGAACTCACTATGTAGACCAGGCTGGCCTTGAACTCACAGAGATCCGCCTGCCTCTGCCTCCCAAGTGCTGGGATTAAAGGCATGCGCCACCATGCCCAGCTCCAACTTTCCAGTTTTAAGGGTCAAACACCTGGAAGGCAGGTTCACCTTAAGTCATACTAAAGAGATTGGCAAAATACTTAATGTGTTAAAGAAAGGATGAACATTTTGGAGCCAAAATTCTTGTCCCCTACTGCAGTGCTTATGGACCAGAGCTTTCCATAAGTCTGCCTCCTTTTCTGAATTTTTCAGAAAAGCATAACCTCTCCTCTCCTTTTTTTTTTCCTTTTTCAAAACAGGGTCACTATGTAGACCAGGATGGTCTCAGACTCACAGAGATCCACCTGCCTCTGCCTCCTGAGTACAGGAACTAAAGGCCTGCACCACCACACCCAGTGCTACTCTTTCTCTTCTTTCTTTTTTAAAAAAATATTATATATTTTATGTGTATATGTGTACTGGCTGCATGTGTGTAAGTGCACTTGTGTTATGCAATCCCTATAGAGGACAGAAAAAGGTACTGAATCCCCTAGAACTGAAATTACTGACCGTTGTCTGCCTTGTGGGTACTGGGATTCAAACCCAGGTTCTCTGCAAGAGCAACCAGTGCTTTTAACCACTGAGCCATACAAAATTTTTAAATTTTTTTTTTTACATTTCTTGTATGTGTGTGTGTGTGTGTGTGTGTGTGTGTGTGTTTAGAGGTTAAGAGAACAGCTTACAGGAATTGGTTCTCTCTTCTTACTGTGTGGGTCCTGGGGATGAAACTCAGCTCATCAGGCCTGGCAGCAAGCACCTTTACTCATTAAGCCATCTCACAGTCCCTACTTTGTTCTTTTTGAAATAGCATTCAGTTGTCTTGGAGGCCACTGAGGATGGATGTCATTCCTCTATTAAGGCATTAAGGGAGAGAACAGAATCTACCTCTGGCCCTGGTGGAGACATAACATTCTGATCTGCTCCAAAGATTAGAACATTACATACTTTGTCTCCTCTCTTTAGAGTAAGTTCAGCTGAGCCTGTCAGTTACCTGCCCAAGAGACCACCCTTAGGAAGTCTGACTCACCTAAAGCCATGCTAAAGAGATGAAAAGATTCATTGCCCCCTTAAGGAGATGATGTACCTATCCTTCCCAGAAACCCTTCCCCACGCAATTGCCTGCACAGCTTCCATCTCCTAGGACTGTCACCCGCCTACTTGTCTGAGTTACTTACTACCACCTTGAGCTCAGAAAAGTATGACTTTCCCCTTTTCTTCTTTCTATCTTGTTCTTTCAGGCATTAGCCAAAGTCTGGACGTGTTTTCCTTGACACACTAGGCTTTGCAACTCATTCTCTGAAGCTACCCCACCATCCACAATGTGGCTACCTACAAACAGCATGGCTTTTTCTCTCCTTCTATCTTCATCCTCTGGGCAGCTGCCCAGATTTATAGTTTGTTCTGTTGTTTTTCTCTCAAACGCTAATAAAACTGTCCTCAAGCTTCCTTTAGAGCCTGTTTTAAATTCTTTTATTAACAAGACTAAAAACCCATGAAAGGGAACTCATTTCTCCAGTAAAAACAGAGACTTACTCCGTAACCCAGGCTGGCCTGAAACTGCCTTGATCTTCAGGGATCTTCCCATCTCAGCCTTCAGAGTAATGAGATTGGAGGTGTGAGCTACCATGTCTGGTTTAGAAGTTCATTGTTGATCATCTAATAATAAAATACAAAATTTTTAATCAACATTTGCTGTCTGGAGATCATTTTTTACTTACAAAAAGACTCTGTACTACACCTTTGAACAGACTTAAAATGATCTGCAGTTACAGAGCTAAAATCTATATTTGTCTCCTATTGGTTTACTTAATTTAAAATCTCACTCTTTTAGCTAGCTATTTTCAGGCCTGCTATACTGAAAAGGTTGGGTAATGAAGGAACAACAAAAACAAAAGCTGGGGAGCTTAAAAATCTGTACAAGCTCTTGGCTCTTCACAAAGCACCATTAAGTGTCCAAACCCCTGAGTTCAGCCAGGCATGGTGGCACACACTTTTAATCCCAGCACTTGGGAGGCAGAGGCAGGCAAATCTCTGTGATTTCGAGGCCAGCCTGATCTACATAGTACATTCCAGGTCAGCTGGTGCTACAGGGAGATCCTGTCTCAAAAAGACCAAAACTAAAACCAAACCAAACAAACAAAAAACCTCATGAGTTCAACTGACTTTGTGGAAAAATTAACAATTAACAGCAATTAGCAGCACAGCAAAGCAGTATGCCTCAATATGCTTTTGCCCCCCAAACAGCACATCTTCTTAGTAAGAGATTTTTTACGAATTTCTGTATAAATTGCAATGTAAAACTAGGCAGGCAAGGAAGCTTCACAGACATACCTGTAAAATCAAGACAAATTGGACATGAATTTTAAATGTTAGGAAGCCCAAGATTGTATGTGCCATCCACATGAATCTAAAGAAACCAACTATAGGGGCTTGAGAGATGGCTCAACGGTTAAAAACACTTGACTGTTCTTGCAGAAGAACCAAGTTCAAATCCCAGCTGTTAACCTCAGTTCCAGGGGATCTGACGCTTTCTTCTCTCCTCCACGGGGATTATATGACACAAGTGCATTGCTATACATATAGGTAATACACCCATTCACATGAAATAGAAAAAAAAATATTAAAAATAAATAAAACAAAAAAAGAAGCCTACTATAACAAATTCTTGGTAGCTCATAATAATTCACACATGCTTTAGGTCAGCTCTCTTGGCTCTGCGTGTATTTCAGAGTAGTGCTACATGTCCATCCAGCTCACAATAATTACAACAATTATCATAAAACAGATATTTATTATATATAAAGGAGAGATCTTGGTGTGTGTGAGTGTGTGGGGGGGCATGCAAGACAAAACTAGCTCCTTTGTTTCTTCTAACTTCGTATGGAGATGAACTAGAAAATTCTCTGTCCATGTCCAGTTTGGTTTCTGTAACTGAGATGTTTGATATCCTATCACATATAAATTTATAACAGCACAGATTCCATGAGTTTGTGGCTTGCCTGAAGTCTCTTTTGAAAAATCCTGGATGTTTGCAGATGAAAATGATCTCCATTACTTTTTAAATTACACTTAAATGAAAATATAAACATTCTTCACATTTATTTTAGAACATTCTAAACTTCAAGACTCTAGTGATGGAAACCCAGACAAATTAAGCCATTTGAAGATATGCGAATAGGCAACACTTTGTAGTAGATTTGGGAAACGATAAAGCATTTCAACACATGGTCTGCACAAAGCTTTTAGGAGTCTTAAGTTAGAGCTTCAGAATTCCTCCTGCAAAAGGACAAAAGAGAGACTTCCTGTCATTTCCAGCAGTTTCAGCATGTGGGGCCAATATGGGCAATGCAAAGTTTAAACAGATGCAAATAGCGAGAGGAGGAGGCAGCAGGTCTTCTTTTACATATTTCTCCATAACCAGATTGAATTGCAGTCACTTTCCTTGGAGATTTACAGAGGAGACTTCCCACTGAAGTGACTGCATGCCTGAATGGTCTATTTCAGCAATATTTACTTATGGAAATAAATGGGAGTGGCGGGAGGAGAGGAGAGGAGTGGAGGAGGGATTTAAGGCCAGGGGCGCTCTGACCACAGTGCAGCACACCAGCCGCCCTGTCTGACTTGATCATTAACCTCTCCTGGAAAACGCAGCTGGCCACTCTCTGAGGTCTGTCCTTAGCATGTGAAGAGAGCCACACAGATACTGCTCAGACTATTTACAGGTTGCTTATTTTGGAAAGCTATCGCTCCACTTGTGTGTGACAGGAGGGAAAAAGAAAGAAAGAGAGGGAGAGAGAGAGAGAGAGAGAGAGAAAGAGAGAGAGAGAAAGAAAGAAAGAAGAAAGAAAGAAAGAAAGGAAGGAAGAAAGAAGAAAGAAAAAGAAAGAAAGAAAGAAAGAAAGAAAGAGAAAGAAAGAGATGAGATTTCAACATTTTTTTTGTGTATTTTTCATTTTTATAATGTGCCTTCTTTTTATCAATGGACAGCAACCAGGTAGGTCTTTGAAACAACTGTGCCAGATAACGTTTGTATGCCTGTTTGTATGTACACTGAAAATGACTTAGGTGTGTTTGCATTACAGTATCGAGAGAAATGTGCAAGATTTCTGGCATATCCTAACTATCTTGTGAGAGGTATTACTTGGGTATTTTTAAAGAGCAGCTACACTTTAAAATATTGATAAATAGTTTACTAAGACAATCTATCTTTAAATTATCGTATGTTATCCTTCCAAGTAAAAAGAAGTGGAAACGTTGATCTATTCATGATAGAGGTTAGTGAACCTAGGTTTTTAGGTAAAATGCAAAATCCAAAGAAGTTTATCAAAAGTGCCTTTTGCTAACTAGAAGAGGGTCCCGTGAACTAATTAGCATTCTGTCAATCACAATATGATAAGATGAATTCATAAAGCTAGTCCACTGTTGGCATTTCTGGTTATATAACTACGTAAGATAGTTTTTATTATTATGGTACTTATGAAGACCATAATATTAAAAGTTGTATGGTCAAGATATAAAATATTTATGAACTTGACAGCTTTTTCAAGGATGATAGCCTTTAGAAGTTCTCAGGCACACAAGACTGTAGATTCAAGTTTCAACAGAAAGATGGTAATGGCTCCATTCAAGTCTGACACTATTAATTGACAAAAAGGTTCTTCAGTTAGAAAAGAGATTGTGCATAACTAACTATAAAGTCAGATGCTGCCTTTAATTAGTGAGAAGTGTGATTGTTCTGAGGTTATTTCAGATGAAGACACCCCGCACCCCCCTACCCCAGATTGTCCTTTTTTACATAAATAAGAAAACAATTCTAAGTCAGCAAGTCCTTTCCTATTGTTTATAGCCATTGCTACTCAATCCAAAATCCACAACACCCTGGGCAACATTCTGTAAAGTTTACTATTAACTCACTAAATAAAATTCAAAGTCTGAGAACATTTTGGAAGAAACCATATAAACAGAAAAGGATGGTGCCCTTGAGTTTTTACTGCTAACACTGTTAGGAATAACCCTTGTGTGCCTAGGCTTCCCCGTCATTCATTTATGGCATAATCCTATATATGAATATAGTCTTCCTGCAAATATACTTTCATGTCCTCTGGATACTATGAGCATTCATTTTTAAATTGCTCTTACTGTTTCTCTTTTTTTTTTAGTTAAATTGACCCTGAGAAGAAAACTACACCGGATAAGATGCTCTCCAAGGAGATGTTTACGTCTTCACGCCCGGGTGCCCTTCCCCTGAGGTATTTCTTAGAAAACAGTTTTACTACACTTAATTAGTTATACCAAAGATTGTTTACTCCTATTTTGTAATATGAGACGATGACTTATAGTGATGTAAAGGTTCAGGAGATGTGTCATGCATGGAAGAATGAAACCACATGGCATTTAGCATTTGGGAATTGCTTTTATGGTTGCCTTGTTTGAGGGGATTTTTTATTTTTTTTTTTTTTTGGTCTTTTTTATTATTTGGTGTCCTTGCCCCGCCCCCCAAGCTAAGGGCCTCATGTTTGCTGGGAAAGCTGTCTACCACTGAGCTAGATCCCCAGGCCCAGGAATTGCTTTTATAGTTAAGGAAAAAGACAGAAAAGAGAAGGAAAACACTGATGGTTGTCGAATCTGAATGATGGCTATGTGGGGCTAATACACGATGTGTGTTTGAGATTTTAATAATTAAAAAATCAAGCACCATGAGAATTTAATTATAAAAACATCTTTAATCATGTGCTTAGCAAACACTGAATGCTCCAGATGTTGACCAGAGCAAGCACGTTTCCCATTTAGACCAGGGTATACGTGAAAACATTTGGATGTATTTACCCCAAATCATAATAACGACAGCACAGCCTCAATATTTCTAAGCTTAATATATAAAATCAACTTAGTGTCAACAGCAAAACACTAGAATTTTGCTTCTTCCCTTTGAGGTTTTATGCTCATTAAAAGATCAATGATTCTACATCGCACTTCCAGCATCAATCAGCCTCAAACATTGCCCAAGTTAAGTCATTTCATACTAAAAGATGATAATTTGGCATTCCATTGTATTTATTTTTATGTCCTTTGGTTCAGTTAAAGTATATTTCCCAAAAGAAAATACTATAAAGAGACCTCCCAGTTGGTTAACACATACAGGCATTTGTTAAGTTAGCTTATTCAGTTAGTCTGTGGACTGTGGCTTTTATGGTTCTATTCATTTGATGTAAAGAATGGTTGCTATGTCTATTGTTCAATACATGCTTTTTCAACCCAGTAAAAGATTTGTAGTAGGAAAAGAAGAAAGAGAAGGTCTGTAATAAGCATTTATCAGAGGAGGAGAAAGAAAGCCTCTTATGTACATATCTGTGACAAATTGCTGTTTGCTATCAAAATTAGGAAAAGTAGATTTGGTAGAGGAACCCAGAAAAATACACTTGGTGGGTTCCCGAGAAGCCAATGATAGTTTGAAATGTGATGCTGAGGGATTATTTTATGTGTTAAAATGTCCTTTGGTGCATGTTGATCAGTCTCACCTTATAGGACAACAGTAAAATCTGTATTTGGAGGAGTGAAGGAATTGCAAATTCTCCCCCAGCATTCCTCCATAAATAACGAAGATGAAAGGGGGCTTTTCACAACAGCGAAAGAATTCCTGTATATCCAAAGATGCCTGGAAAATACAAACACCGGCCCTTCATCAGCCACACTTTATCTTGGCTTTCTGCACAAATGACCTCCCATAAAAATCAGGGCTGTAAGTACACATGATAGAGGAGTGAAATTTGACTTGTCAAAGTTAATGGAAAGTTTGGCCTATATGCTGAGTTTGCAAACCAAAGGGAAATTTAAATAAAACCCATGCAAGCCAGCTAGTAGCAAGGATCCTTTATAATAGTCAGCTGATGGCTTTACAGTCTGCTCAGGTTTCAGCATTCATTTTCTCAATGTTTAGGTTAGCGCTACATAGAAGTACACAAACGTCACCTGCTGGAATCCAGTAATTATTGTAAGTCACTGTAAGATAAACATGAAGATAATTTCCCAAGGTCTTGATCAGCCAGTACCAATCATAAGTCCTACCTTCAAATTTGATACCAATTCTCACTGACCTAACCTGCCATAATTTCTGTACTTCTTGCAAGAAAAGCATTTTGACAATTGGATAATGTAGGTAGTGAACGCCAAAGCAAAAGCCTCCCTTCCATTTCTCCCCTTTTCCTGCATGTTTTAGTTGATGTGTGGATTTGATTCCGCTGGGGTCCAGTAAGACTGCAAAAGGATTGGAAAGGTAAACAAATTGACTCTGGAAATGTTCCAGATTAACCTCTAAGGTTTAGGCTTTTAGCTCATTTAATCCAATGCTCCATTATCTTTCTTCTGTTCATTTTGCCAGCTCCTGGTGTGCCTCTTGCCGACCCTCAGTACGGCTGCCTAGTCTTTAGAACTGAGTCAATTAAACGTTCTCAGTGTAGTGCAGTGCCTTTCCTTGATAGGGTTTATTTTTTTCTCACAGAAATACTTTGACATCCCTGCAGCTCTAAGTGAATTAGCCTGGAGGAGGGAAGGGAAGGTGTGTCAGAAAAATCAGGCTTGGCAGTTAATGGGAGGCAGGGGTGATATTCCAGAGATATCCCTCTTCCACAGTGATATCTCCTACAGTGTGGTCATTACGAGCATGTACGCAGCAGCTACCTGCCTATTACTGGCTCTCTTTTCAATAACAAGTGTAATGTATACATATATATGTGTATATATGTATATTCATGCTAGAAAATGTATTTCTAAGCATCAAAAGTAAAAATCCTCTTGGCCATTTTCACTTCTCAGAGAGAATGGCTATGATATGAAAATATTTTTTTTAAAGTACCTTTCAATATGCTATTTAATTAAATTAATTTATTGATTTGATATTTTTGAGATAGCATCTCCCTGTAGCCACAGCTGACCTAGAACTTGATATGTAGACCAGACTGGCCTCAGTCTTATAGAGATCCATCTGCCTCTGCCTCTGAAAGGCTGAGATTAAAGGCTAACACACACACATACATACACACACACAGAGACACACGTCTTTTTGAGACAGTGTCTCCTTGTAACCCCAGATAGCCTGGAACTCCCTATGTAGACCAGGCTGGCCTTGAACTCACATGCCTGCTTCTGTCTCCTGATCACTGGGATTAAAGGCCTGCATCATGATGCTCGACTTTTAATATATTATTTTAAATTAGTCTCTGCTCAAACAAAAATGGTGACATACATCTCTTATGTTAGCACCCAGAAGGAGCAGGACCAACCTGGGCTACAAGGGACCATGCCTCTAAAAAACTAAATAAGCAAATAAATATAAAAATGTAAAAAAATAAATTACTCTCATCACCCTTGCGTGCCATTCAAAATGTGCTTCTAAGCCAAGTGTTCCAAACCTTGGAAAAGGGAGGCAGGGATGTCAAAGCCAGCCTGGCCATCCTACCTCAAAAGAAATAAAAATAAGGGAAGAGGCATGGTGGTCCAGGCCTTTAATCCCAGCCCTAGGGAGGCAGAGGCAGGTGGATCTCTATGAGTCTGAGGCTAACCTGGTCTATAGAGCAAGTTCCAGGCCAGCCAGGGCTATATAGTAAGGCGCTGTCTCAAAAATAAATAAATAAATATAAAAATATAAGTTCATAAATTATTCTTATCACTCTTACCATCTAAAATATGCTTCTAAGCCAGGTGTGGTGTTTATACCTGTAATCGCAACTCTCGAAGGTAGAGGCAGGAGGATAAAGAGTTTGAAGACAACCTAAGTTATATCTCAAACCAAAACAAAAGTCTATGTCTCAAAAGTCTGTCTCAAACCAAAACAAAAGTGTGCTCTGGTGCTCTTATTCTTCCTATAGTGCTGGTATTCTGACCCTGTGAACAAACCTCCGTTTCCCACATCTCTTTCTGCGCTTGGTCTGGTCTTCCTCATTCCACTGTCTCTTCCTCAACTCGACCTGCAGCATCAAACCTCTTTTCACGAGTGTATGTGTACATTGATGCAGGAGCACTGTTTCCCTGGAGCACTCTAGCTGCACTTGGGTCCCTGGAAAGAACATTTCCTCTCCTCCTGTTCAGCTATGCTTCAAACCTTCCATCCCCTCCACCTAGGCTCCTTACCTTTGCACATGTATGTGGTGTTTGGGATGAAACCCAGGGCCCCAGCATGCTGGGCAAATGTTCAACTTAGAGACAGACTCAAGTCATTTCCTTTTATCACCCCTACCCCAACCTCTGGTAATCCAGGGACCTTGTGTTCCTTAACCAAGTACTGTACCTTAAGCAATTACTGCGTTAAATCCCTAAGCCCTTTTTGTTTCATTAAGATAAGGTCTCCAACCTGTGTTGTGGCACAAGCCTTTAGTCCCAAAACTTGGGAGGCAGAGGGAGGTGGATCTTTGGGAGTTCGAGGTCAGCCTGGTCTACATAGGGAGTTCCAGGCCACCTGGGGCTATAGGGAGACCCTGTCAGAAAAAAAAAGATAAGGTCACATGTATAGTCCTGATTGGCCTGGAACTTACTATTATAGACTTGCAGAGGTGCTTCTGCCTCTGTCTCTTGATGCTGGGAGTACAGGCTTGTATCACCAGACTGGCTTGCTTTCTTAACCTCTTCTTGGAGGAAGTAGAGGGGATTGAGCCAGAATGGCCCCATAGTGCTCTCTAGTGACCAGACCATATTCTCCTCAACAGGCTTCTCTGAAAGGTTCAAAGTTTCATACACAGAAAATAAAAATTAGTAAATAAAATATTTTTAAGGGGCTGGAGAGATGGCTCAGAGGTTATTAAGTTCACTTTCTGCTCTTGCAGAAGCCCAGGTTTGATTCCCAGCACCCACATGGCAGCTAACAACCATCCATAACTCCCAGTCCCTGGGGGATCTGATTCCCTTTTCTGACCTCCATGGGCATTGCATGACATGGGTGCACTTACATACATGCAAGCAATACACTCATGCACCTAAAATAAAAAAAATAGAATATTTAAAAAATATTCTTAAAATACAAAACAACAACAAAATGCAGTCTATGGGGCTGGAGAGACGACCCAGCAAAGCACCTGCCTTGCAATGTAAGCATGAAGACCTGAGTTCCAATCCCCAGCACTGTGCAAACAAAACAAAACAGGCCAGGTGTGGCTATGCCTGTCTGCAACCTTAGAGACAGGTAGATCCCTGGAACTAACTGACCAATCAGCCTAGCCAATCAGTGAGTACTGGGTTCAGTGAGAGACTGTCTCAAAA